TGCTGGGTGCGTAAGAGCCGGCCACGGGCGGGGCTCAGGGCAGCAGCCCTCCTGTGCCTCAGGGCGCCCATGTCCCTGGTCAGCCAGCCTTCCTGCCAAGGCTCCTCCCGGCCCCAGGGGTGCGTCCGAGGGGACGCCGGCACAACCTGCCCTCACACTTGTGCCACCTGGGTGAGCTGAGGAGCGTGCACAGCCAGCCACACCTGTCACTGCGCCACTTAGGAGCAGAGGCCACCGCCAACCTCGCCTTTTATTGCTCACATAGTGTATGTATTTGGGGGGGTCTTCAAAAAGTTTATGGAAAATGAGCATCGTACAAAGAAACTACGTGGGGGCCAGCAGGTGGCATGATGGTCTGTGTGGCTGGACTCCCACAAGATTGACTGCGGTTCAAGTCCTAGACCTGGGAGCTTGCTTTCTCACTTTCCCTCTCATTCACTCTCTCTCTCTCTCTCTGTGTCTCTCTCTGGTGAGCGTATGTGTCCTATAGCAAATTAAAAAGAATCATAAATACAATTAAGTAATTTTAAAAACATATATGGATTTCAAAAACTTTGCACCAAATAAACTTTTTTTTTGCTATACGGTGCATGCACTTGCCAGAGACAGACAGAGAGAGAAAGTGAGATATCACCCCAGGGGGATGGCCATGCCGCTTGCATGTCCATGGGCCCAGTGTGTTTCTCAAGCTCCCGGGTACAAAACTCGAACTGCATGGTCAGCCATGTGGATTCCAGCGCCTTAACCATGGCACTACCTGGCTGGCCCTACACTCATATTTTAATTCCAGTTTTCCACGAATGCTTTGAAGTCTTCCTGTGCAGCTTTTTATAAACTATACAAACAGGAATGCAGTGCAGGAAACCCAGTGCAGGACTCGGAGCCGTCCCTGCTGTGGCCAGCGGTCACCTGGAAGAAAAGCTTCCCCACGGAGCTGGAGCTCTGTGTACAGCGCCAGCCCCTGTGGTGGCGTGCATACCCCTGCCCGAGGGCATGGGCTGGGCGGGCAGCCCCCAAGGACTCCCGGGGCTGGCTGGTGCTCGGGACCTGGTTTTCTGGGCTTCAGCACACCAGTGTCCCCAGTGTACCAGGGAGGGCTTCCTGCCTGTGCTGTTATTTCTCCTTCAGCCCCACGTGATGAGCAGAGGCCCCTCCCCGGACTCCATCGGAGCATAAACGCCAGAGACGGCCCGGCGGGTGCCAAGTTCTGGTCTCACCGACGCCCAAGAGCTGGCGTAGGAGGCTGCAGACCTAGGTCTGAGTCGCTGGCTGCAGCAGGTGGAACAGGCTGTTGGCACCAGAAACTTCTCCAGAAACCAGGGCCCAGAGCTCAAGTGCAGTTGTGGAAGGAGGTAGGCAGGGTCCATTCATCCACCCATCACCCACTTCCAGTGCCACTTCCTGTGCTAGGCCTGAGGTCAGGGCGACAAGACTCAGGTTCCTCACCCGGAGAGGCTTCTTCAGGAATTGACATATCAGAGCCTTCCTGACACCGCAGATGCTGGTGCCCGTGGCACCCTGTGTGGACGTCAGGTTATGCCATCTGGGCTGGGGGCAGCACCACCGAGGGGAAGGAGCAGAGGGACGATTCTGGAACATGCCCTGTTCCCATCTGCGTAAGCATGCACTCCTTGCAGGGCTCCAGAAGCCCCCGGCCCTGGATCAGGCCGCCCCGAGGAGAGAGGAGAAGGGCCTCTGGTTACTCTGCCGCCCTCAGTGTGGCGGAGCAGGCGGCCAGGGAGCAGGGACACCCTCAGCTGTGCGAGGTCCTCACTGCCCAATCTCCCTATCTTAGGACTCAGAGCTAGTAAAGGGAGGTGGGTGGGTGCCGGGTGAGTGCAAGTGCAGAGAGCAGGGAGAGAGAGGGAGAGGAGAGCATGGGTGAGAAACAGTGAGAGAAGGAGAGGGGCCATGAGAGAGAAAGAGAGAGGGAGAGAGGGAGAGAGACCACGAGGGAGAGAGAGAGAGAGAGAGGGAGGGGGGCCACGAGGAAGAGAGAGAGGGAGAGAGACCATGAGGGAGAGAGAGAGAGGGAGGGGGACCACGAGGGAGAGGGAGAGGGAGAGGGAGAGGGAGAGAGACCATGAAGGAAAGAGAGGGAGAGGGACAACCAGGGAGAGAGAGGGGGGGCACAAGAGGGGGAGAGAGAGAGAGAGAGGGAGGGAGAAACCACGAGGGAGAGAGAGAGAGGGAGAGGGACCACGAGGGAGAGAGAGGGAGAGAGGGAGGCGGACCATGAGTGAACGGGAGGTGGGGAGGGTGCGCTCTGCAGAAGGGTGGGACTCCATCTCTCACTGACAGGTGAGGGGCTGAGCCCGAGCCCTAAGGGATACGGGGCGGTGCCAGGCGGGCAGGGCAAGCGCGTGTCATATGCTCTTAACATTCCCAAGGCCCGCTGAGAAACCTGTGTTGGTTTTGGCTTTGTGTTCCTTTCTCCAACTCTCTCATGCTGCCATCCCCAGGCTACTACGACTCGAGCGTAGCCCACAGTGTGTCCCCTCTGTTTTCCTGCCTGTGCATGGCATTCCAGAACCACGTGGGCTCATGCAATTTCTAAAAATAAAAAGACACGCCAAGTGTTGGCTTGCAAAATAACAATGAAGGGGGAAATTCGGGGAGAGCCAGAGTGCCGAAGCAGAAGGGCTGCGGCTCCCGGGGTGCCAGGGCCAGTGCCCGCCGCGGCCCATGCAGAGTCTGTCAGAGGGCACGCCGCTCGCAGCCAGGTCCGTGGGGGCAGCGGGGGCGAATGCTGCCCTCGGCCTGCAGGGGCGGGGTGCCAAGCCCAGGCACCTGTCAAGGGCTTTGGGCAATACGGGCCGTCAGGGAGGTGGCTGGTTTATGTCCCCATCAGCACCGTGAGATCGTCCCGTGCTGGGAACTGACTCGGACGTGACAGACTGGCCTCGAGAGGTGATGCCACCTTCATAATATTTGGGTAGCTCCCTTCACAACCAGACACTGTACCCGCGCTACACCTTGTTCTGCACGCTCTGAGACGCGGCGAGCATTTCTTGCACGGAACTGAAATGCAGGCTGTGTGTGGGGGAAAAAAAAATGGAAAAGAAGAGGCTGGGGGAAACTCAAGCAGGAAACCACGGGACAGTAACGAGGGAGGGGAGAGGAGTGGAGAGGCACTGAGGGCCCGGTCGGAGTGAGTCAGAAGGCGAGTCCTTGTCCGGCCCCAGTCCTCGGGGCCACCTGCACCTTGTCCACGCAGGGAGACGCACGGGGACAGGAACGCCTCCGCTCGCCGGACAGTGCCAGCTCGTGGCTCAGGTTGTGAGCTCACTCACTCCTTTCATTTTTCTTTTTCTTTCTTTCTTTCTTTCTTTTTTTTCAAGGTTTTTGCCACAAGGTAAAACCCATAATGCTTGCCATGGTGCTTGTTGGAGAGAGGAGACAGAGAGAAACGGAGAGGGGGGAGTGAGAAATCGTCCCCGGGGGATGGCCACACCGCAATCCCTTCTCCTGGGATTTTGGGCACGCACGCACACGCGCCCCACAGGATTTTCAAGCTGAGGTCTGATGATCCTCATTTTACAGAGGAGGAAGCTGAGGCTTCCCGGTGGCTGAGCCGCCTGCTTTGATCACAGACGATGAAGTCTTCAGGCGACGCGCCCGGCACAGCGGTGCCCAGTACCGCGGCACCCGGCGCTCGGAGCCCTCGTCCTGGTGTTGAGGACCCGGGGAGGCATGAGCCGCTAGGCAAAGACTGTGTTTTAGATTTATAATTGAAAGAGGATTAAAGGGCCAGTGAGTCTTTCTGGACATAGGGGCCCTGCGTTCTCAGGTGGCTTCAGGGACCCAGAGACCCAGGACGTGGCTGGAAGGACAAAAGGAAGCGAGAAGCATGTCGGGGTTTCCCCTGGGAAGGGCTGGCTCCTAAGCCAAGTCTAGGGTGACACTGAGAGGGACATGCGGACATTGTGGATGAGAGCTCTCCTGTGCCCTAAGTGACGTACCTTGGTCGTCGTTTCTAGAATGATCTCCTTGTGCAGAAGCTCCACCACCATTTTCACGTGCCCTTCCTTCGAAGCCAGATGCAAGCCATTCAGCCCATTCTGTGGGAGCAGAGAGACAGGAGACTGTGGTTACTGGGACTCCGTGTCCTGCTGTTCCGGGCGGCTGGAGGAGGTCCCTCCCAAGTACAGCACACACACAGCCTAGACGGGCTCTGTGTGGGAAGAGCAGGCGCAGTGGGGAGCCGAGCCATCCCAGCTCCCCTGTGGAGCCGCAGGGGACAGGGAGCAGGGGAAGCAGATGGGGTGACCACGGGCCCGCCCCAACCTGGACATGAACCACAGGCAGGGAAGCCTCCCCCACCACCGAGGACCTCGATTCAGATCTTGGCCAGGCCTCAGGCACCCCGTTTAGGTGCACTGACACCCCCACCCCCGCAGAGACAGGAAGAACAGAGAGGCGGGACCGTGTGTCCTGAGCATCTGCAGACATAGACGGATCCTAGCTTTAATGACGACCCTCGAAATCAGGCCACACAAGAACTAAATGGCACCCCGCTGTGAGAACCAGTATGAGCACAGCCCCTCCGCCATGCTGCCATGCCAAAGGGGACCGCAGAGGCCTGCCTGACAGTTCAGTTTAGGAAAAACCAAAGAAAACAAAACACACTTCCTGTGCCCAGCCAGCCCACAGATGCAGAGCTCGCTGGTGACGAAGGGCCCGGCCAGATTGGGAATGATCAGCTGCTCTCCTGTCCTCTCATGGTCCTCGGGGTTCTGACCCTGCACCTCCGCCCCCGGTCCTCGAAACCTCCTGGCAAAAGGTGCCATCAGGTGCTACTTAGAGCCACAAAGAAGTCCTACAATGTGACAGCAGGAACTTTCAGCTCCCAGGGTGTGCAGGTCTCCTTCCACAGAGAGCAGTGCAGGTGGTGAGTGCTCCCCACCCTGCCCGCCACCCCTCCCTCCTTCCTCCTTCTTGCCTGCCACCCCTCTCCTCTGCCCCTCCTTCCTGACTTCTGCTCTGGTCACCTCCGTTCCAGCAGGTCCCCCTACACACACGCAGAACCCCCAAGTGGTGCCGAGAGGTCCTAAGGTTCTGCATAAGGAGGAACCCTCGTCTGGCCCCTGCTGGTCTGGCCCCTGCTGGTGGCCTGCCCACTCCACATCCCTCTGTAGCCCCACCAGGTCCCCGAGTTCCCCGCCTCTTCTGTCAGGCATCCTTGCCAGAAGCCTCTTATCGGAACACAGATGTCCACCTGGGAGTGGTCGTGCAGAGCCCAGTAACAGGAGACTCCCATAGCTCTGCTCTGAGCAGAGGGAGAAGTCACCTGACCCATGACGGGAGAAGGTCACCTGACCCATGACGGGAGAAGGGAAGGTGGGCACAGTATTCCCTTCACACAGGGGCCTGGGGCAGGGCAAATCTAACAGGGCCCTGAGTTTCAGAGAAAAGAGAATAACTTTGATGGCAACCTGCCCCCTGCCCCCTCTTCCGACCAGGCCTGCCCTCACCCCCAAGCAGCCAGCAAGTGTGAGTGGACAGGCAGACTTGCCAGGGTGTGTGTGTGTCTGTGTGTCGGAGGGCGGCGAGGGGACTCTTTCACCAAGTAGTTCCCCAAGCAGGTGCCTAAACGCTGCCATCACATCCCTTCTACCTGCAGCCTCTGCACCAACCCACACATGTGGGTTCAAGCCAGAAGGGTCGCAGCTGAGTGGACTCCCGAGTCCAGTGTAAACGCTTCACTAACAGAGAGGGAGAGAGCGCTTTGAGGCAAGACAGCGGTCTGCTAGGATGGAAATCTGGGAGGGCAGGCCTGAACCAACTCCCCAACTCCAAGTGCAAAACTCGGGTGCACTGGGACGCTCCCTCCCAGGCCAGGGTCGTCTCCATCGGGCAACTCTGCAAGCCCCTCCTCACACCCGGGGAGCCTTCTCGAGAAGGTGCGCCGTGCCAAGAGCAGGAACCCGTGACAGCTCAGGAGTCACGGGCAGCCTGCTCCTCGCAGGGCCGGTGGGTGCTGACGGCTGGGGTTTTCGTGCTTACCGGGCAGCCCTGTTACTCCGTTGAGCATCCGCCGGCCTCAGAGTGCGAAGCTGGCCAGCTTGGAGGAAACACTGATGTTTCTGCAGTGGCTGATCCCTGCTCTTCAGAGCCAGCACGGGGACCTTGAGCTAGAAGGGTTCTAGCTGCACTGCCTGGCCAGAGGGTGCTCAGATCCAACAGATATTAGAGTCCCGAGTTCCACCCTCCCATCGACGGCTCAAGAAACGGAGGTACAGAGGAGCCAGAGGCTTAGCTGAGGCCACCCAGCCTTCCCAGGGCATGACCGAACACAAAACCAGGAAAGAAGCATTCTGTGGGCCAGCCCCATAGCCTAGTGTTAAGGGAGCCGGATCCCACATGGCCAACTGTAGTTTGAGTCCCAGTCCTTTCCTGGAAGCTTGAAAACTACACCTGGGCACATGTGTGTGTAGGTGCCTCAAATCCCAAGGGGGTGAGGAAATGGGGAAGGTGTGGGTGACCCTACTGCACTCACCGGGGGAGGGTACTTTCTCTTTCTGTTGAGTGCATGGACCTTTTGGCAACTGAAAATAAAAAAGTATTCTGTTGCCCCGCTCCCCAGGAACTAGTGCGTTCCTTTTTATGAGATAACGAAACTTAGTTTTCCTTCTTGATCACCGGGATGTTCTGAGCTAAGGCTCCTTCCCTAGAATCGCGATGACACCTGTCTCCAGTGCTTTCTTCCTTGCCCACCCTGGTCCACAGGAAGGCCCTGCTCCTCCCTCCCTGTCCCAGCCTCCCTCTCAAAGCCATGCCCTCGGCAGGAGGTAACGCTCTTCACCATAAAAAGGACCATCGACTAGAGCTGTGTGGGTCATAGTTTTACTTGCCCTCCGTTCCAGAGTCTGGCTCAAGGATCTCTTTCTTAATTTTCTCTCTTTATTTTTCATTCGTTTGTTTTCAGCGCAGGCACCCTAGTTAATTCCAAGTCTATCACCTGCAAGAGGGCCCGGCCAGGGGTTCATGCACAGTGAACTCACACGGAATAGGCCACGGCAAGCACTGCTCTCAACCACGTAATCTGAGCCACCAGGAGCCCGCTCTGAGCCTGGGCCTATGCCAGAGATAGATAAAACACAAACCCTTCCCTCGAAGAACTCAACCATGGTGGGGAAAACAGATGTGTTTTTTATTATTTATTTATTTAAAGATTTATTTTATTTACCTTTATTTATCATTATTATCATTATTATTATATTATTATTATTATTATTTTCCAATTTGACCTGAGAGAGATTGGGGCAGAGGTGAGTAAACAAGCCACCGGATTCGAGACTTGAACCTTAGTCGACCATGTGGGCATCCAGCACCTTTAACCACCATGCTACCTGCTGGCCCCCAGATGCGTTTTTTAAAAAGGCAAAACCGGAAGACCAGCAGTTAGCATAATGGCTATGTCGCTGGACTCCCATGTAGTCGACCGCAGTTCGTGTCCCGGACCCGGTGGCTTAAAACTCAGGCTGGGCACATGTGTGTGCATGCCCAAGATCCCGAGAGGAGAATGGAGGAGAAGGGACTGAGGCGTGGCCATCCCCCCGGGGGGTGATTTCTCGCTTTCTGTCTCTGTCTCTGTCTGTCTGACAGTGCACACGCCCTATAGCAAAAACCTCCCCCCAAAAAAGGGCAAAACCATGTCCAAAATGGCATGTCTAAGATTGGAAGTAGCACAGCAGAGAAAGCCATTGGTCTGTGAGGTCCAGGGAGTTCCACAGAGCCCTTTAAGGCAGGGGGTGGACCTGCAGAAAGCCTCACTGCAGACCCATCATTAGTGACAGCAGGACACAAGCCGTGTCCCAGTCTGAACTCTAAGTTCGATGCACAAACCCCAGAAGCCATGCTCCAGCCTTCCTCAATCAAGCACCTTCCTCTTCCTTTTCTGAAGCAGCTGAAGCATGAGGTGCACCAGCACCCAGTCCCTTGGCAGCTCGTCCCTCTCCAGTGGCTGGCCTCGTGGAATAGACTGCTGGTCGACAGCTACACACTACCACTGACCTGCAGCCGCAGCACCGAGTGCCTGAGGACTATTTCCTGCATCTCTACACTAGGGATCTGTACAATTGTCTTCTTAACTGCATCACTAGTCCACGCAGGAGACCACTTCCAACACCCAAGGGTGCTCCATGGATAAAGACCATATGGATACTTTCTCTCTCCTTAAGCAGGTTTGTTTATTGCTCACATGAGAATGAAAAGAAGAGCAGATCACATGAGCTTTTTGTCTTTAGCTTTAACTATGGACAGAGATGAACTGTATGTAATGTATTGCTCCCTCAAAGCCAAGGACCAGGTTTAGGGTGGTTGCTAAGAGTGAAATGCAGACTGGGAACCAGCCTTGTATCCTTTCCAACTGCTCCATCCAACCTTCACAGCCACTTCTCTTGAGCCCGAATGGCAGACAAGCTGTTGAGGTGGATTATGGAGGAATAAATCACATATTTCTTTACATTCCAGAATGTAGATGATAAGCAAGAGGGGGGCCCGTGGGTGGCATGGTGGTTAAGGTGCTGCATTTCCATACAGTCACCCATGGTTCAAGTCCCAGACCCAGTGGCTTGAAAATCACACCTGGCATGAGTGTGTGCACGCTCAAATTCCCAAGAGGAGAATGGAAGAGAAGGGATTTCATATGGTGGGGTATGATTTCTCACTTTACCTCTCTCTGCCCCTCTCCCCAGTGAGTACATATACCCTATGGCAAAAACCTAAAAAAAGAAGAAGATAAACAAGAAAGAAGTAGAGAAATATGAAAGTAAATTATCCAGATAAATTAGAAGCTGGGGAGCAAAGCAATGACCACTTGTGATCATTTTTTAATGTCTTTCACTGGGAGAAAGTACTTGCTAAATTCTTCTTCCTAAAGACACCTCTTTCTAGGACTCCAATTACATATATGTTGGATCAATTGACACTGTCCCATACTCTTGGCTACTCTGTTGTTTTTCTTTCCCTGCTCTTTGTATTTTTAATATACATATTTTTTCAATCCAAATACATCCTATTGACTTGTCTTCAACTTCTTTGATTCTCTCTTCAGCTA